GCAATAGCCCTTCTGTAGAACAATATTACACATTGACGGAGGCGAGAATGATTCTTGTAGATCTGCACTCTGATCAATGAGCACAACAGCACATGTTACACTTATAACACAAACCGAATATAAAGCAAACATTAATTTTTTTTCTTTTTTTCTTTTTTCCTTTACCCTTAAAAAAACATTTCATCACTAGGGAGAACCTGCCTCCCCTGACCTCACGTGTCTGCACTGGTGAAGCATCAAAAACTGATGAAATGACAAACTGAGCACGGTCCAGATTTGACTTTAAAAGAAAATGTAGGTTTTTTTTTGACTCACAGATGGACGTCAAACAAGATTGTTCTGAAACAAAACAGAGATATATTTTGTAAAGAAACTCAACCTGTTTTTTTTTTCCTTTTCCCCCCTTTCTTTTAATCAAGTTCTAGTTTTCGGTTTAGGGAGGGCTCCTCATAGTTCTTTGCTTAGTCAAGGTTAACAGATGAGTTTGCTCATTTTTCCATCAACAAACTTCACTTTTCAAGAGGTTTCCTTTTACTGCTTGCTTTTAATGCTGGTGTTTTTTTTAACAAGACTGCAATCATCTTACCACAAAGTCAAACAAGGCAACGTGACTCAATTTTAAGCATTAGCTTGTTGGCTCATGATTAAACTAAATGCTTGGTGTGTTTATGCCAGTTTAACAGATAAAGAGGTAGAGTTTTTATGTGATTTACAAAAACTAATTGTAGCATTATTGTTGTAGGTCAGTTCTAAAGGGTATTTGTTGTGAAAAGTCTTCTAAAGCTTAAAATGAAGTGGCTAATTGTTAACATTTTCATTAAAAGGCATAAAAGATTAGCTATTTATGAAAAAACAATCCAGCAGAATTGAGCTGCTGTTGTATCTTTCACAACATTTTGGTTTTGATTTTGGTTTGGCATCAGTCTGATGTAGGTCAGCTGCTCAGATGTAACAAGCTTACAAAGTCAGATCCTCAGTAGTGTCCAACTATGATTTCATGAATGAGCAGGAAAATACACTGGGGACTCATAAAGTGTATGAAATTTAAGTTTGTGTCCATCTTTGAGATATGACAAAATACACAATTGAACCAGTTCATGAACATTGTTTGTCCAGCATGTGGTACTCTGCAGGTATTTAGTAAGAAAATATTCCACTGGTTATGCGAGCACCAAAACT